CAGTAGGAATGGAGTCAAAGCAGTAGGAATGGAGTCAAAGCAGTAGGAATGGAGTCAAAGCAGTAGGAATGGAGCTGTGCTGCTCCAGGGCCGCTGCTGGTGCTCTGGGGAGGGCGGTGCTCCCGCCCCTGCGTGCGTCAGGGGCCGTGTTTTCCTCCATCCCCACCACAAGGAGCTCGTTGCGTGCAAGGCCTTCTCTGGGACTGATTTGCTGCTGGAGGAACCATCTGCATCCCCAGCACGTGGTGCCCACATTGCTGGTTCCGTGGCGCGGGGTGGGCGCAGCTTCCGGCCCGGCCGTGCCGCAGGATGTGGCCAGGCTGTGACACAGCCCTGCCACCAGCGCTGCTGCTCGGCTTCCTCACCGCGCTGTGCTGCTGTCACACGCTCCAGGGACACGGCCCCCTGCCCTGGGCCTGGGCCTGCCTCCCCACAGCAGGTGGCAGGGGCTGTTTTGGCAGCAGCGAGGCTGGGCTGGGTGGGGCCTGGGGCAGCCTGGGCTGCTGGAAGGTGTCCCTGCCCATGGCGTGGTCTTTGAGGTCCCTTCCAACCCAACCATTCCACGATGAGATGTGTGCCATGGACTCACCTCCCAGCCCAGGGAGGATCTCCCTGAACCACACTCTGGTTTCTCCCAGCACATATCGTGGCCCGTGTTGCGACAGGAGTTGGGATCTCCCTGCCCCTGCACGGAAGAGGTCACTGAGCCCATTCCCGCAGGAAACGTCGAGCCTGTTCTTAGTGGGCTGAACTGGAGTGGTTTGGGGTTTCTTCCTCGCTGTAATTAAATAAGAAAACAAGAGGCCTTGGCTTAAAGCTTTTTAATCTTTCTCCAGAGAAGAACTGCTGATTAGCACTGCGGCATCTGGTAGGGACGGGCTCGATTGCAGCCATGGCAGTCGTGACCTTGAGTTTGGGATCTGCTTCCCAACATTTGAGGACGCTGCTCACCTATTGGAACAACACTGTGGCTTCATATAAATCTAATCGAAATTCTGCTTGGGGAAAGGGGTTTGTTTGCTTGCTGGCTTATAGAATTATGAAAACTGACTTGTGCTATTTAAGGCATCAGCTTAATTTCTGTTACTTTATGCATTTCTGTCCAGCACATGTAAAACAATATTTTTGGTACACAAAGCTTTCTGCCTTAAGCCTCCATCAAAGAACAGCCTGACACAAATTCTGCAAGGGGCTGGATGTGGGAACAAAGGAGGTATAATTAGCTACAGATAAACAGAGCTGTGTTTCTCCTCAGCATCCCTTCAGATCTTAACTTGGGTCTCACCCTTGGAGCTGATTCTTCTCCACAGACTGGAAGAGGAAGGAAAGCTCATCTTGAAGTGAGCTAAACTGAAGTGAAAAATGTGTGTGTGCACCTGCAGCAGAGGCTGTGGCTGCTCTCAGGGCTGGGGTTATTTCAGGAGATTCGCTTTCCGGGCGCCTGAGCTGTGACTTCTTCTTCTGGTTCCCCTCCACCCTCTGGTTCCTGTCTCTCACCCTTTCCCCGCTGGCTGCTCTGCTGGAGGGTGTCTGGCAGCAGCTCCGAGCTGTGCTGTGGGTTGACATGACCTCACCTTTTGGGTAGCTTTGTTCCCCAAGGGGGAAGCTCAGGTGAAAAGTCGGGTCCAGGTGGTTTTTACCCTTGTTTGGTGTGTCAGAGCTGAGCAGAGTTTCTCTTTGCAGGGCTGGGGCTCTTGGTGCAGTGATGTGGGGGGAGAGGCTGTGAGGCCTGTTCCCTCAATCCCACATGGAATGTGTCAGGAGTTCTCTCGGTGGGGCTCTGTTCAGCCCAGGTCACCCCGACAGCCGCTCTGCTCCGGCTGGGCTGGGCTGGGCAGGGAAGGGGGAGGAAGGAAAGCTGGCACGGGCTCCCCCCTCCTCAGATGTGGGGCGAGAGCCCAGATGGCATCCCAGATCTCTTCCCGTGGGATTTACACAAGGTTTCCTGTCGAGAGAGCTGCTCCTAATCGCTGCCCTTCTGTGCTGTGTCACAGCTCGGGACCAGATGAGCAGAGGGAGGTTTCTCTGAAGATCAGAGTCGCCCCGGCCGTGCCCCCGGCTGTCCCCGCGGCGGGCCCGGCGCAGCGCGAGGAGGCGGGAAAATGTCCCACGCTCTGAAGCAGGTGTTCAACAAGGACAAAACCTTCCGGCCCAAGCGCAAGTTCGAGCCGGGCACGCAGCGCTTCGAGCTGCACAAGAAGGCTCAGGCCTCGCTCAACGCCGGGCTGGACCTGAAGGTGGCTGTGCAGCTGCCGCCAGGCGAGGAGCAGAACGACTGGGTGGCCGTGCACGTCGTGGACTTCTTCAACCGCATCAACCTGATCTACGGCACCATCAGTGACTATTGCACCGAGCAGTCCTGCCCCGTCATGTCGGGGGGCCCCAAGTACGAGTACCGGTGGCAGGACGAGCACAAGTACCGCAAACCCACCGCCCTGTCGGCCCCCCAGTACATGAACCTGCTCATGGACTGGATCGAGGTGCAGATCAACAACGAGGACATCTTCCCCACTAACGTTGGTGAGTTCGGGGTCCAGCTGTGGCTGGTGGGGAGGGAGGCAGGTGCAGAGCCTTCTCCTGGAGCCCTCAGGTCCCATTTGTGTTCAGGAGGTGCTGCAGAGCTGATTCCTGCTGTGCTGCTCCCAGGAGCTCTTCCCAGGTGCTGCAGAGCTGATTCCTGCTGTGCTGCTCCCAGGAGCTCTTCCCAGCTCCTCTGCAGCGCTCAAATACCCAGAGCTGCACCAGATCCCCCTTGGAGCACCTGGAGGAAAGCCCAGGCAGGCCGTGCAGACGGGAGGCTGCCCTTGGAGCAGGGGCTCTGAGGCAGCTCTGGAGAGGAGAGGCAGCTCGTGCTCCTGCAGATCAGCTCTCCTGGCACTCACTGCCAGCCTGGATCCAGGCTCTGCGTCACCTGGTGATGCTGCCACGTGCCCTAATCAGCCTCTTTGTTGTTAGAGTCTGTTTGGCTGCCTCTGCCCCTCCAGAGGGGTGGGCTGCTGGCACAGGCCATGTTTCACCTCCTGCCAGGGCCCTGGAGAATTTGGCCTAAGACACCTCAGTCTGCATATCCAAGCACAGCTTCTCTGGATGCAGGATGGAGATGGCTGGGGTTTGTTTATTTTGTGTTGCGGATGGGAGAATCCATTCCCTAAGGCATCAGGTAAACATGGCTGAGCCCATGCAGAGCTTCCATCTCCTGGCATGCAGGAGACAAGGAGCAGCAAGAGCTCCCCTCCCTTCTGCCTGGTGTTTATCCCACTGGAGCTGTGACAGGATGCAGTTGGGCACTGCTTGGGGCACGTCTGCCCCTCGAGCTCCTCCTCTGTGCCAAAATGCTGCTTCAGCCTGCTGTGGAGTGGGCAGAGCGGGGTGGAGGGCTGTGAACAGCTGAGACACCGACCCCCTGGCCAGCCTTTCTGCTGTGGGGAGCACTCGGGGGGTGCTGGTTCTGTTCCGGAGGCAGGAACGAGCTTCCCACAGCACAAGGGTTGTGGTTGGTTTTTTTTTTTTTTTTTCTCAGTTGTTACTGTTTTCAGCTCAGCTTTCAAGCAGATCCTCCCCCTTCACACCGACTGAAACACTGCAGCTCTCTCAGAGCACTGGAAGGGTTTAACTGGCGCTGATTCCTCCAGGAACAGCCCGTGTGGACTTTACTCCCTGATATCCCACCGAGGTGCTGGATGGCCAAACCCCCCTGCTGTCAGGCCCTGGGCAAACACAGACCTGGTGCCTTTAAAGAGCACCATAAAGGCTTTAATTTTTAACCAAAGACATATCAAATTAAGGGGATAACTGTGGGGAGGTAACACCACCAGCCCTTCCCTTCGGGAATTCGCTTGGTCGTATCTGGTGTTTTGCACTGTTTGTATAAATGTGTCAAACAGGAGCAGAGGAAAAACTCTGACTGAAACAGCTGCAGGGAATCTGGGCTCTGCTTTCAGTGCCAGCAGTGCAGCACTCTGTCACTTCAAAAATCCATGCTTTTGAATAATCTGATCCAAAGGGAAGCAAAAGGGAGAGGGGAATGGACATTGCCAGGGACAGAAGCCCTTTTGTCTCAATCTGCCTGTTTTACCAATTCATTTTAGCTCTGAGGAACCAGTTTTAGCTTGACTGAAGATTTCTCATGGCCATTCCTCCCTCCCAGGTACTCCCTTCCCCAAGAACTTCCTCCCAGTGGTGAAGAAGATCCTGTCCAGGCTCTTCCGGGTCTTTGTCCACGTCTACATCCACCACTTCGACAGGATCACCCAGATGGGCTCGGAAGCCCACGTGAACACCTGCTACAAGCACTTTTACTACTTTGTGAAAGAGTTCAATCTCATAGACACCAAGGAGCTGGAGCCCCTGGTGAGTGCCTGGGTGGGCTCAGGGGGCTGTCGGGGTGTGCAGGGCTGGGGGGAGCACAGAGGGCTCTGCTGCCTTCTCAGGAGGCCCCACCTCAAATCCCAGGGGCAGTTCTGGGCCCCTCACTCCAAGAAAGACATCGAGGGGCTGGAGTGGATCCAGGGAAGGGGCAGGAGCAGCAGGAGCAGCTGAGGGAGCTGGGGGAGCTCATCCTGGAGAAAAGGAGGCTCAGGGGGGACCTTCTGGCTCTGCAACTCCCTGACAGGAGGAGGGAGCTGGGGGGGTTCAGGCTCTGCTCCCAGGGAACAGGGACAGGAGGAGAGGGAACAGCCCCAAGCTGTGCCAGGGGAGGTTTAGGTTAGATATTCGGGAATATCTCTCCATGGAAAGGGTGGTCAGGCACTGGCACAGCTGCCCAGGGCAGTGGTGGAGTCACCAGCCCTGGAATTGTTCCACAAACCTGTGGATGTGGCACTCGGGGACAGAGGTTAGTGGTGACACAGCAGTGCTGGGGGAATGGTTGGACTCCATGATCTTGGGGGTCTTTTCCAACCTTAGTGATTCCATGACTCTCTTCTGATCTGGTTGCCCAAATTCAGGACCAGTTGGCCCTGCAGTTTGGCTGCCAGCAAACTGGGAGTAGGGATGGGGGCAGTTGCTCACTCCCAGCAGGTGTTTGCCTCATCTGAGGGCCCTGTGTGATCCCAGCACTGTCAGCCATCTGCACATGGATGGATAAACCCCCTGGGGTGTGCTGGGAATGGGAATGGGAATGGTGGGGGGAACACAGCCCTGCCCATCCCGGAGCTCTGGGCAGCAGTGTCACCCCACACCTGGGAAGGGCACTGCCAGCTAACCACAGGGCAGGTGTTTCCATCCACCCACCCCCTCACCGGGCAGCCTGGACCCTCCTTCACCCCCCTGCCTTCTCTGTGCCTTTGACAGAAGGAAATGACCTCCCGGATGTGCCACTGAGCCCTGACCTTCCTGCTCCCACCTCGGCGCCTCCTGCGAGGGCCCAGCCCCGCTCCCGTGCTGGAGTCGCGACCCAAGGGGAGAACAGAGACGTTTTCTTAAAGAAATGATATATTTTTAATGAGTTTCAATGTAAAACTGTGATATTGCAGGAATATTTTTTTAAAGATGCTTTAGATTAACTAGTTTTTTATAGGAATTTCTATTAAAAAAAAAAAAAAAAGAGGAGAGAGAGAAAAAATATTTTGAGGGCCATTTGATGGGAATGTCTCCACTCTTGGAGAGGGGAGGAGCTGCCCTTTCCCTGTGCCCTGAGTGAGCTGAGCCAGACACTTCAGACAGAGCTGTGTGTGGAGCTGGTGCTGCCATGGAAGCAGAACTTCCCTCGGGACACCCATTCCCACCCCTGAAGGCAGGGTACCTGGGGGCTGGGGAGGGAATGCTGGATCCCCGGGGCGCTGCTTGTTTCCAGCACCTTTTCCACGGGCTGTGAGTCCAGTTTTGGGCAGAGCTTTGTGCCCCCCCCGGCACGATTTGCTGGGAGCAGCGTTTTCCCCATGGTTGCTGCTGGTGGAATCTGCCCTGCTCCCCTGTAGGAGCAGCTGAACAACACGACAGCAGCCACCTGGATGACAGACAGAAGAAGAAAATACTAAAGCAAAAATATTGTGGTCCAAGCTCTCCAGGCAGGCAGATGTTTCCCTATCTCCCCACATGCCACCCAGCCCCATGTGACTGCTTCCAGCCACAGAGAACAGCCGTGCTTCAAGCAGCTTTGCAGCCTGACCTTGGGATTCTTTTCACACACACACACACACAAATCTTAGCTCTGGCTCGCTCAGAACCACAATATTTTTGCTTTAGTATTTTCTTCTTTTATCATCCAGGTGGCTGCTGTTGTCTTGTTCAGCTGCTCCTGCGCTCCCCTGGTGCAGCTCAGCGCTGTCCCCACGGGGATCCACTGGCAGCCCTGGGCCAAGCTGTGGGACTGAGCAGAGGGACAGGGAATTGCTCCCACACCTCGTGGTACACTGACCCTGCCAGGAAGGACCACTTGCCCTCCGGCCTTGCTGGCCACGGGGATCACATCCTGCTTCCCTTTAGGGTACAGAGCCCTCTCCCTCTTCCCCTTTGGCCCTTGTGGGACCAAAATCCCTGGTGTGCAGCCAGAGCCCCCTGGCCTTGCCTGCTGCTGGCACAGTGAGAGCTCCCAGTGCCCCCAGTAGGCGGGTGGGTCTGCCTACGGTCGGGACCAGTAAGAGAAAAGGTTTCTATGAACAGTGACCAAACTACCACTCACCACTCCTTCCTCACAAAGTGTTCCCGTGCCCTGGAACGTCTGTACATACGTGACTCTTGTTCCTGGGCCGCTCGTACAAACACCCCTCGTGCTCTGGAATGGAACCAATAAATTATGTTGTATTTACACAGCACACACGTGACGGCCCCTTTGTCAGAGCCCTCCCACCGGCAGAGCAAACACGGGCTGCTGGGAGCTCCTGGGGCTGGGGTGGGTTCCTGCAGCCCTGGGGGGGTTCCTGCAGCCCTGGGGGGGTTCCTGCAGCCCTGGGGGGGTTGCTGCAGCTCTGGGTGGGTTCCTGCTGCTCTGGGTGGGTTCCTGCAGCTCTGGGTGGGTTCCTGCAGCTCTGGGTGGGTTCCTGCTGCTCTGGGTGGGTTCCTGCAGCTCTGGGGGGGGTTCCTGCAGCTCCTGCTGCTCTCCAGGTGCCAGGTCAGAGCTGGTTCCCAGAGCTGTGGAGCTCCACCAGCACCCCGGGGCTGTCCTGACTCGTCTCTGCAGTGCCCCTGTACCCGAGGGCTGAGCTGCTCTCCCAGCCCTGCAGCTCGGGTGGAAGTGGGCAGGGGAGGGGAATTCCTGCACGCTGGAGGTGCTGGGCCCTCCTGAGCACCCTCCAGCCCCTCTCCCAGCGTTGTGTGGGTGCAGCTCAGCTGGAGGAACTCGCTGTTCCGTGTGGACAGTCCCCCTGGCCACGCTCCCCCCGGGTTTTGTGCCCCTTGTCGCTGGCAGAGCACGAGACACTCCATGTCCTTGGCTTAGGGTGAGCAGTGCCCAGCCACACCAAACCCCCGGGGTGTTATCAGCGTTATCCCCACCCCAAATCCCAAACACGGCCCTGTACCGGCTCCTGGGGAGAAAACTGGCTCTGTCCCAGCTGAAACCAGGACGCCTGCAAAGACCCGAGTGGGGCTGCCTGTGGGCAGTGAGCGCTGCTGGGGCAGCTCCTGTGGCTGTTCCTCACCTTTCCCTCTCCCACACACCTGGAATGCTGTGAGGGCCGTGCAGGAGGTGAGCAGCACCTTCCACGGGGGGTACAGGGCCCTGCCGACCTCTGCCCCCCTTCCTTTTTTTGGGGGAAAGACCCGCCCACCTCGGTGCCAGAGCAGCTCAGCCGAGGGAGGAGGAGGAGGAGGAGGAGGAGGAGGGGAAGCACCTTCCTGGGAGATGAGCCGGGCTGCGGCTGAGCCCGGCCCCCACAGCCCCGGCGCTGCAGGATGTTGCCCAGACAGGTCTGCAGAGCCACAGTCGGAGCTCAGCCGTGCTCTGCCTCTGCCTCGGCAGCCCCAGCCCTGCTTTCATCTCCCGGTGCTTTCATCTCGGGTTTACTCACTCACCCCTGAGCCCCAGCTGAGAGTCACTGCAGGGAGCGGGTGACTGGGAGCCCCCAGGGCTGAGCCCCCGAGTTGAACCCCCCAGAGCTGAGCCCCTGAGCTGAACCCCCCAGGCTGGTCCCCCAGGGCTGAGCCCCCCGAGCCGAGCCCAGCCTGGCGAGCAGGTTGACTGTGAGTGCCCAGGACCCCTCGGCACTGTGATCTCTGTCTCCCCAGGCTCGGGGGGTGCAGAGGCACCGGGAAGGCTCTGCTGAGAGCCCAGGGAACAGATTGCCAGGGCCTGGGGCGAGCAGGTCCCGTGCCCGGGGCTCGGGCAGCCTCCCCTCTGCGGGGCTGAGCCCTTCCCAAAAAGCACAGATGGCACCTGCCCCGGAGCTGGAGCGGGCACGGGCTCAGGGCACGGAGGGGGCTGCACTGCCTTATGTTCCCAGGGAAATGCTCCTTCCCTTTGGCTCAGGACGGGGTCACCCACTGCTCCAAGGAGGCAATGGCTCACCCTGTGCCTCTCCCCTCCAGCCCCCCAAAAGCTCAGCAGCTTTAGGGCCTCAGTTTTGCCACAAATCCCGATTTAGGATCTTGCCAACGACATCAGTTTGTGACACATGAGTGGTTTAGGGTCACTCAAAGAATCACCGTCAACGTTCTCAGCAAAAGTTGTTTTCATGTGAATTTATGAACGTGTGATTGAACAGAGTTTGATGGCGAGGTTCCCCCTGGTACTTCCTACCAGACTAAGGAAAATCGAGTTGGAATCAAGCTGGAATGATTTACTAAGAGACCAAAGATATAAAAGGATAAGAGAGACCTTTCTGTTGAGTATGAGGTTCAGAAAGCCCCCCCACTGCTTCCTAAACTCCTGATGGAGCTTGGGTACATCCAGGTCCAGTTTCAGTCTCAGTAAACTGGGACAACAGTTTACATCTGCAGGAATTCACTGCATGGATTTGGTGTTCATTCAGCGCGGTGTCAGGAACTCACCGAGGAGCTGCTGCAAACAGGGGTCTCTCCACCTTGGCAGAGGAAGGATCTGTGCCTCAGGTAAGGAATCCCAGACCTTGAGGGGCTTCCCAGTTCCAGGGGAGGTCACCACGGGCTCCCAGGCAGGGAGAGCTCCAGGGCACTCACTGGGAGTGGCTGGTGATGGGATGAAGCTGCTGGCTCACAGTCTAACGGCACCCGAAGGGAAAGGTGCAGGAGGCTCCTTGTGCCCGCAGCTTGCTTTGTTCCTTGAAAAATGAGCCTTGGAAAAGCCACCCGCTGTCCATGTGTTAATCCTAGGACTGGTATTCCAGGCTCTCATGGATCGATGTTCCCTGGGTCACTCTGCCCCTTCCTGGGGCTGCTGGGCCTGGCTCTGGCCTTTTCCCTCTGGAACCCGGAGCAGACCCCCCTGGTTCGGTTCAGGGCTGGAGCACATCCATCACCAGTCCCACTGGGGTTTGCTTCCAATGGGGAGCCAAGGAGGGGGGACAGCAATTCTGTGGACCCCCAGAAACCAGCCAAGAGGGGCTGGGGGTCTCCTGCAGCATCTGCAGCCCGTGGGGTCGGTGCAGGAGCCACGTCCTGCTGGGCGAGGAGGGGAATGTCCCCAGCCACTGCCACCTGCCTGGGCAGCAGAGCCTGCTCGGAGCACTCCTGGGCCTGTGCTGTGACACAACCGCTGCTGAGGCTGCCTCATCCCGTGCTGTACCACCCCCTGCACCTTTGGAGTTGGGAAGCAGGGGCCCAGGAGTGTCCCTGCACGGCTCTGCCCTCACAGCCCCCAGGCCTTGGCAGCCCCGTGGCCTCCTGTGCCTCTGTCCCTCGTCCCTGCACAGGCAGTGGCAGCTTTCCAAGAGCTCGGAGATGTGCCTTTTGTTTGTCCTATTTTCCCTGGACAGCTGATGCCTCTGGGCCCACATTCCCCAGGGTGCCTGGCAGCCCCCCAGCCCCGATCTGCCACCACCTGCCTCCTCCCCGGGCACACGAGCAGGGCCCTGGCTTTGCCCCGCTCCGCTTTTGGGCTGCCTGGAGAGGTGACAGCCAGTCCTGGGACGGGGAGCAGTCACCAGCACGGCACGTGCTCCCTCTGCCTTGTATGGCACAGCCAGGCCAGGGGCCAGCAGCTCCCCAGCCCCGTGCCAGGGACATGGGCAGGACCTGGAATGCTTCTGGGAAAGCTCTGGAGCGGGGAGCGCACGTCCCGTCCCCGGCTCGGGGGTGACACCGATACCAGGGGCACCTGCTGCTCCAACCCCTGCCAGCCCTGCGGGGACAGGGGCCCTCCTTACCCAGAGCCTCACCAAGAGCTGCCCCAGGATCACTTTTTGTCCTGGTGAACAAATCCCCAGAGGCTGCTGGGACAAAGCCACCGGCACCCACATCCCCCAGCACGGGGTGTGCCGGCCCCACTGCAGTTTCAGTGCCCTTTCCAAGGGAATTTTTCGGTGGTTTGGGACTTTTTCTGCTCCTCCGAGGAAATGGCCTGA